CGCAACATATTCTTGACGTATTCAGCCTCATCGTCAAGTACCATGGCGTCAGTTGAAGGCATTTGGAACGGGTCGAATAGAATCTGATCTGGACCACTTTGTTGGTAGTAACCCATGCCGAACATGGGTTGGCCATCCATGCCCAAGGGATCCGGGTATGCTGACTGGTCCCATTCGGGGTCCCCATTCATGTTCGCCACTGGAGCAGACGGGTCAATGTCCATCTGCGACATGTCTTGAGTTGCGTTGGGATCGCGATCATCAGCATGATGCCCCTCCTTCTCACCGAGGAAATGGCTCCGATCTCCGTATCCGTACAGTCCACCCTCCGCGGACGCGGTAGCACCGTTAGCGCCATTAGCGATGTCTTCGGCAGTCAGAGAAGCACTCTCCTGAGCCTTTGCGGTGTCGGCCTTCTCCCGTAGCTCCTTCATACGTTTGCTGTTCGCGCTGCGGCCCTCTTCACCAGCTGTCTTGAGCCAGTTGAGATTGTGCACGCGGAAGTCGACGAGGGCCTCAACACTTCTATCGTCCGCAATAGCCCGGGTATCATGACCGAGAAGGGTGTTCTTTGGCGTATAGGGGTTGCCGCTTTCGGCACGGCGACATGCACCGCAATTACAGATGCCCAGGCACTTTGGGCAAAGCCAATTCTCGTTCTCCTGTACCGTCTGTGGCATCTGATCAAACGCGCGGTAAAGCACGCCGTAGCAGTAACTTTCTTTACACTCTGGATTTGAGCATTCTTGCACCTTGTAGGCGTAGTCCTTGTGACAACAAACGTGGCAGCGACGAAGCTCTCCCTTCTTCTTCTTCCGTTTGTATTTTTTCTTCTTGGGCTTGCCGTTGTCGTCCAATTCTGGCTCAGGCTCGGACTCGGTGAGTGGCTTGTCCTCGTCAAGCCTCGAAATATCTTTGAAAGGTCGCCTGTGCAAACCCTCCTGGCAAATTTCGGCCAGTGCCTTCTTACCTCGCCGGGTGCGAGCGATTTCAAGAGGCTGAGGTGATAGCTCTATATCAACGAAGCCGTCGTTCTTGATGATCATCGCCCGCCAGAGTTCGTAATCCTCCGTCAGTTGTTCCCACGACCATTGCTCGCACCATTGAAGTTTGGATATGCAGACACAGGATCGTCCCATGGCGTAGCATTCCATACAGACGTCGTATGCATCCTCATCTCCGTTGACCAGAGTCCGCACACAGTGCTTGCAGGTCAAGAATCGGTTGAAAATGTTTGATCTGCAGTATGAGCAGGTCACGCAAGAATCGTACTCGACATATTCGACGTTCTTCTCCTTGGTCGCAAACATTTCGTCAACAAGAATCTCGGTGTAGAGTGAGAAAAGATGGCGGAAATCCTTGGCAAGCTGCTTATACCGTGAGGATGACCGGAAAAGCTCCGAGCTTAGACCGGCAATGCCCATCTCGCTGTCCTGCTCGGCCTTTACCATCTGCGCGAAGTATTTCTTAAGCGTATAGTAGATGATAGCCTTATTTTTGTACTGCTCATCACGGCAGACAAGACGAGCTTTGGGAAGGGCTTCGTGGAGTGCCATGTCCAGGGTCTCGACAGTCGTGCGGTTCCACGCGACCTTCATGGTGCGCGTGCCCCTATTCCAGACCTGATGAGGGGCTAGAGGGGGGATGAGGATGAAATCGCCGGGTTTCTGCTCGACAATGTAGACCGGAAAGGTTGCCTTTTTCCAGGCGTTGATCTGAGCAAAATGCTTCTCAATTTCGATGTCGTGGCCGAGCATAGACAGGAAGTACTCGCGGACGACTTCTCGATCCTTGGTCTCCGTCATGAACCAGATGGAGCTTCCAGGTTTCTCTCCGTTCTTACTCCCCGAAGCCTCAACCATGATGTTTTGTCCGAGACTGGCGCACATTTCACGATGCGCCGGGGTGAATGTTCCTTCGTGTCCGATATAGCACATGAGATTCTGTGCTCGCATCTCCTCGGGCAGGCTTGACATGAGATCTCCCGCAGGTGCCACCTTTGACCTATCGCCAAAGCCACGAAAAGGATCACTTTCCCGACTGTCTGCAGCTCCCTTTTGCGTGACATTTTCGTTCATGTAAAATAGGTTGGGAGGAATGACTTTCTGCAGGTGTTCCTGCCATTCGGGAGGACAGTCGATGTCTTTTAGGTAAAGGCGTTGCCGTCTCTCGTCTCGATAATTGGTCGGTGTCCATTGGTTGGTGAGTTGTTTCATGGCTCTCATATAGTGGCCTGTGGTCATCGGAATCTCGGTCTGGCCGGTAATGTCACGGACATTTTCCTCTGTCTTGATGTCAGCTGCTGCCGCGATTAGGCAAAAGGTGACTACACTCACGCTTCTTGTCGTATGTCTTCTCCATCCACTCTCCACTGAAGAGCCACTCGGGAAGAACCTCGTTCCATTTCTCAATCACCAAGGGCTTCCCACCCTGAATGACTTGTAGTTGGACCAACTTCTCAAACTCCTGGGGGCCCAATCCTTGAATCTGAGCAGTCGAAATTCGGAGGACCCATTCGAAATTCGGGGTATGATCGACAAGCGTGAAAAGGTCCAAGTCCGGGGGAATCGGATCGAACTTGGCCTGGGGATGCGATGGTGGCGGCATCTTGAAGGCTGGCTATGGCTACTTTCGGGCGGGGAATCGCATGAGAATGCTATCTTTGACGCGTCGGTCAGGACATGCGAGACGCATGTATCCCCAGGCGTAATCGAGACGACCTGCGGCGCGTCGAGCCGGCGGAATTGGTAGGATGACCGGCGAACGCCGACTGGTGATGTTCGCGACACACGGAGATGCGATCCAGAGGCTGGAAAGCGTGTCGCGTAAACGGAAAGTGGCGTCGCGCGAGGCTGAACAATTCGAGATTCAAAGGCGATGGGGAGGAACGAAAGTCAAATGCGCAGCCAATCAAGGTCTGCGAATCTACCGGTACCTTGGCCCCCAAGGATCAAACCGCACGGACCACACTTAAGCTCTGGACCCTTTGGCGACGGCTCTCAAATTTCGGTTCTCTCGGTGACGGGTGCAAAAAGTTAATGGGGCATATCTGGTTTTTGTTAGAGCTCCGTATCGATTGTCGGTAAGTCTTAAGGTTTCTTTTCGTTCTTCTCCAGTGGAAATACTGGCTAGAAGATTTCCACTGGCTCTTGCCTCCAAAGCTAAGGCCTTTCGATGCAATGTCTGTATCGCGCTATGGTGAACATAGTTGAGGGAGCTGGCACCCTTGCACATCACAGCTGAAGAGCTTCACAGTTTAGATGGATTCAAGGCTCAACGCTTCAATGTTTTCCATATTGCAAATATCACTCCTTTAGATCTTAAAAACTTTTGTACCTTATCTCTGGTATTACTGCGAACAGCTTGTTAACTCTTCTACGTGTTCTTTAATCGTCAATATGTTACTTATACTAATATCGTGACAGTGACTCGAAATGAGGCAAGTCAACTTGCTAAGAGGGCCCCTAAGGGCGGCATGCAACCATCTATCTGGCACAACGAGATTTCTCTCAGCGGCGTCACCATCTCGATTGGGCTTGCAGGCACACCGCAAGCCTAGCACACATCTCACTCTTCGGAGCTCAGCTCATCAACAGCACACAGCTCTGCACACCACCACGAAACGCCTCACAACAGCCATTGCTCCAGACACTCCCGAACCAGCATCACCTGAAGCTGTGTACTCGCCGCCGACGACCGGTATCATCTCTCACCTGCCCGCATCATGGGTCCCTTACGCAGAACTTACCCGCATCGATAAGCCGGCAGGCACTTACTACCTTTTCTTCCCCTGTCTATTTTCAACACTGATGGCCGCACCGATGGCCATGCCCATAGCGTCTCCGGCCTCTGTCATTGGAACTTCGCTCCTGTTCTTCTCGGGAGCCCTCATCATGCGAGGCGCGGGCTGCAGCATCAACGACCTGTGGGACCGTAACCTCGATCCGCACGTCACGAGAACGAAATTCCGACCCATCGCGCGAGGCGCCATCACTCCTTTCCAGGGTCTCGCGTTCACCGGCGCCCAGCTCCTGGCCGGACTGGGCATCTTGGTCCAGTTCCCCACGTCCTGCCTCTGGTACGGCATTCCGAGTCTGCTCTTCGTGGCCTCCTATCCCCTGGCGAAACGGGTCACCTACTATCCCCAGGCCGTACTGGGCCTCACCTTCTCCTGGGGTGCGATGATGGGCTTTCCAGCTCTCGGAATCGACTTATTGTCTAACAGCGCGGCCTTGACGGCTGCTGGGCTTCTATACACATCGAATGTCGCCTGGACAGTTCTGTACGATATGATCTACGCCCACATGGACATCAAGGATGACGTCAAGGCGGGCATCAAGAGTATCGCCCTCAAGCACGATGCCGAGACCAAGCAGGTCCTGACGGGTCTGGCTGCGGTCCAGCTGAGTCTTTTGGGTGCTGCTGGGTTCGCAGCTGGTGCGGGTCCAGCCTTCTTTATTGGCAGCGTCGGTGGAGCGGCGGTGACACTTGGTGTCATGATCAAGCGGGTCAACCTGAAGAGCGTCAAGGACTGCTGGTGGTGGTTCATTAACGGCTGTTGGATCACTGGTGGCGTCATCAGCTTGGGTCTCGCGGCCGATTACACTGTAAGATACGTTCAAGGCGGAAACGAGGATGCTGTCGGTCAGAAGCAGCTGGAGTAGGAAACTTCAAAAAACGGCGTAAGGAAAGATGTCAGGAGAAAACTTGTACCAACATCGTCTGTAAATTTCATAGCACGTAGAATCAACATTCCCTTGATTCTTGATTTGTGTTCTTCACAACCCACCCCCAAATAAACCCCGTTTTGTGTAATGTGTGATGTGAAATGCCGCATGTTCAGGTATTGACTTTCATGATGTTTTATTTCATCGACCAAAGTCTACCCGCAGTATCAGGACCATAACCCATTGATGCCAATGCAAGCGTAAAACTCCGAGTGCCGAATTTTCTTCCACTGTCCTTCCCATGCTTTCGCGCGATCGAAAAAAGCCTCCCGTTTAGGATCTGGGCTTCTCCTTCTTCTCCTTCCACAGAGCGAGCAGACCGACACCAGAGACCTTGACGACCTTGAAACGGACACCGGGAATATCACCCTTGGCCTTGCCCTTGCGACCGAAACCGGCCAGGAGGACCTCGTCGTTCTCGTCGACGAAGTTCAAGCAACCGTCGTTGGGGACTAGAGATCATAAAAATGTCAGCACTTCAGTTCCCTTCGCCACATGGTCCCATTCAAGACCAGTTTTTCTTTCCCGTTCTCTTGTTCGTCGTTCGAGAATCGCATGCTGGGGGGTGTTCGGGAGAGGGTGTATCGTACCGAAAGCAGTGACCTTCTTGCCGTTCTTGATCAACTGAACACGAACGCACTTTCGGATAGCGGAGTTGGGCTGCTTGGCCTCGACACCGACCTTCTCGAGGACGATGCCCTTGGCGTGGGAGGAACCACCGAAGGGGGAGGACTTGAAAGCGGTACCGAGGGCACGCTTCTTGTATCCGAGATCGGCCCACTTCTGGTCCTTACGGTTCATGCGCAGCTTGCGCGCCGCATTGAGTCCACGAGGCATGTTGGCTGGATGAGACTATTGTCAGTTGAAAAAGTTCCTAGAGGGGTAGTTGTATGCTGGTGGCAATCGAGATTTCGTCGTCGAGATTGTTGAATTTTTTTTTTGCTCGGGGAATTCGTCGTCGATAGGTTGGAGGTTCTGGATGGGACAGCGCAAACGTACCGATGTGTTGGGGGGTATCGCGGGAATTGACTTGGTGGTGGTGATAGTGCCTGACTGCTGCTTCGCGAAAAGTGGTATCCTCAGATTTGTCCGACGACAGCTTTTTCGGCACACAGAGGGTTTGTGCCCTTCGGTGGGAGGAGCGTCGTTTTTCATCACGTGATACTGGCTCGTGCGTTGTCCCATTGCTTGACGAGCGGAAGAAGGCCGGGTCTGCAAGTCAAAAGTGGGGGCAGGTTCGCCCAACCACGGCCGGGTTTCGCTTTCAACCACTTTGGTCCGCTCGGAGCTCGAACCCCACGCTGCTGACCGTACCGTCTTAGCCAGGGGTGTCCCCCCAAGGTCCACAGCTTGCCTCGACTATCAAAACCCAACCAATCCTATCAGATGCCGTCAAGTTCAAGAGAAGCTGTCTCAGACGCCAAGTCCCGAGCTTGGAATGTTCACGACGACACACAAAATGTAGGCATGTCTCAATCAGCCAAGAGCAAAGGAAAACAGCGCGACCCTCCGCCGTCCCTATTCCTTCATCCATCTCCCGCCGCCTCTCATGCCTCGTTACCGGGTATACTTGCGCCTGGAGCGCCGGCCACCTTGTCTGCTGGCGTCACACCTCTCCCTCAGCAGGCCATGAATATGCAACGGAATGGATCTCTTCATACGGGCTCGGTAGTCGCGCCATCCGTTGCGCGCCCTGTCCGGAATCTCAAGACCGCCGATAGCGCCCGTAGTAGCGACAGGACCGACGCGTTATGGGCCGAGATGCAGGCGACGCTCGAGGAGGTCGAGCTCTCGGCGTCAGGTGGAACTCACGTGTTTGGACCCGATCACGATCGCAAGCTGGAGGAGCTGAGGACAGCACAGATCGACCTGGCACAGGCATGGGCACGAAGTGAAGCCGATGAGGCCATTGAGATGACGGGCCAGCGCTCCAACACGTCAGCAGCCGGAGGCGAGGAGGTCCGCAACCTCAAGAGCGCAGTGCTAGGAGAGACGAGCGGCGTGGCGTCAGATGGCAACGAGGGACCACGGAGCACGGGAAGCAACAATGGGCGACCAGGTAGCAGCGGGGGCACGGAGCGACTCGGTGCGAAACTCGAGCAGGAGACAGAGGTGGACATCTTGCTCGCACGCAAGAGGCGCGAGGCCAATGATCGGTACTTCCAACGGGTCAACAAAGGTGTCCTCGACGTTGTTGCCAAACTTGAACACGTTGCTGTTGCGATGCGGGCTGTTGAGCAGGAGACTAAGGATATCTGGGGCGAGAATGACAGCGCGATGGGCAGTGCGAAGGGGTAGAGGCAATCCTGTGATCTTTTTGTGTTTTGTTTGCCCTATTACCTGATGCATCACCCAGGGCCACTGTATTACAACAGCATTGATTCTTTGCATGCTCGGGAAGGAGTTTCGTTGTTTGGTGGTTATGGGCTGGCGTTGAGGATCACATGCATTGGGCGGCAGCACCCCACCAACGTCAGGTTGATAGATTGGCACTGGATGCTTATAGTATTAATTGATATCTCTAAGCCAGCTCAACGTTCCTGTTCGGGCTTTGTGAGGCGATCAACGAGGTCCACACAGTCTATACCAGCAAAGAACGACAAGCTGAAGATCACACTGGAACATTGACCTCCATCGTCGGAGGAGCCGGATGAAGTCGTACACATGAGTCGGCTGGTGAGGTGCGACGGTACAATGGCTTACCCATCGCTGCCACCGATCGCTAAATTGCTTCGAGTCTGCAGCGGGAGATGCGGGTGCACCAAGCGATCGATTGCGCCATCGAATGTGGTGGTTACACCTAGACGTTCTACACAACATTACACATTGCTACTATGTACAAGGTGGTACGTTGGGACAGGTGAAGTTGGTGAAGGTATACGGAGTATCGGAGCCCGAGATTGGTCCATGTCGCTATATTTCCGCTGGTGACCTTCCTCACAGGGAAGGCCGAGTCCTGGCGGGACGACGGAGAGCACCCGTGACCGGAGGCGGAGGAAACAGCAAAGTGGGACTTTTGTTGCATGTCACCAGTTTGAATCCGCGCCAAGACCCTTGCCACTGCACACAGTTGGTGTGCTGCACGCTGAACGTCCGGATAGTTTCCTGTATTGTACCCGCGTGCCTTACCTTAGGTATGGAGACCCAGGAATCTGACGAAAATGCTGGCGAAAGAAAAAGAGGTTGCACATGTCCATACTGCTTGCTAGCGCCACCAGGTTGTCCCATTACTGCCGATTCCCACACCATTCTAGACGCAGACGACTGACGTATGTTACTGGCTGGAACCTGGCAAACTGGACGGAAAAGAGTGACAAACAGCAATGGAACACCTCCACTACTTTCGAAGGGGGCCACCACGGCTGACGGCGCTCCCTACTGGGCAGGTGGTCAACTAAGGTTCGGCTGGTGATTGCCCATCCCAGGTGCCTTCCGTGCTGTGTCCCCATCCATTCAGCGGTCACTGGTCAGTCACCCTGCCATGACAAAGGGGAACCCAAACATCCATTCGATATCCATCAAGGCCCAGTTCAGTCCGTCCACGTCTAACTTGCTGAACCTCCTCCCTGCATCCACCCGTCCTTCACCAATCCGCGAGTCTCCAGCAACTTTCTCCAGTAACTCGCAAGCAACGATTAAATAACCGCAAACTCCCCACAAGACCCTTGAGCGCATTCGTCAATCATACTACCTACCCTACAACACTGGCATTACCCTCATCCTCGACTTTGGTCAATCGCCGCAAAGTCAGACTCTCGATACCGACCCGCATCAACATCCGCGATCGCAAAGAACTTCGTTCCACCCCTTTTCGACGACCTCATCACTCTCCGCAACCATGAGACCCTCCACCTTCCTCGTCGCCGCTCTGGCTGTCGTCCCCGGTGCTCTCGCCGTCGACCAGATGAAGTCCGTCATCGTCTGGGCCAAAACCGATTCCGTCGGTGACGACATCATTCAGAGGGCGAAGCAATCCATCATCGATGCCGGCGGTCAGATCACCCATACCTACTCTATGATTAGGTGAGGCATTACTCTTTCATCGGTTGAGGTTTTTAAATCGCAGCTAACAGCGATCAGGGGATTTGCCGCCGTCACACCTGCTAAGGTCCTTGAATCGGTTCAAGCCTTTAGCGAAAGCCTCACAATCGAAGAGGACCACACCGTCACCAACTCCGTATAGATGGTAGCCTCATTATCGAACCAAGCTGTTCATCGGTCGGGCACAACTGGCGACAGGCAATTTGCAAAGCATGCATCTGGTGAAAGATACAACAATGTGCGAAAAGGGACTTTGGCTGGACTAGGTCACGAGGACAATGATATCCGCCGCCTTTCCCGGCGGCTGCGACAGGGGCAAGCGAGGGGGCACTCATAATTACCATTGCCGTCATAGACGATTTATCACTACGGAGTCGGGAGTTTTCATCGATGAGAAGTGCCTCGGGGGCATCTTTTTCTGTATGGCTACAGCGAGGCTTGGACCGCACCTGGTTCAATCCTGCTCGACGCCTTAAAAACAAGACCGAAAATCACAATCACAGCATACCTACTCATGACTTTAGTCTTTGCCTCGATTATTCCGCCACGTGTACGGGAATCCTTCTCAACTGACGGCCGCTTTATTTTGTACAGTGCTGACGTCGTGGCGTTCTACGATGATGTATCCCAGGTTCCGCATGCGGCTGACATCCACACAACGACGTTGATGAGAGACCTAAGCCTTGCGTGAACCCTTTCGACCTTCGAGGACCAATCCCTAAGGTGATGTACCTGATGAGTGGGGGATTCATGTGCGGCACGGAAAGCAGATGTGCAGATCAAAAGCGGATTTCTGCGTCTTCTAGCCTCCCCACTGCCGGCCAAGGATGCTGATTCAGCTTTATGCTAGGGATATGATCTGTCGCTGAGGGGCACAAGATTACTTGATATCTCGAGGCCTCGTCCAGAATGTTGAGATACTGCATGTGCTTGATTGCAGTGACGCAGCATGCTGCAGCAGCACCTCCTATCGCACGACAAGTCGGCGGTCTCCTCACGGGATGAAAGCCCGGTGTTTCTGATACCTCGCGTAATGCTCCAATTGGGTTGGGCAGAAAAAGCGCCTGGCAATCTCACACTCACAGACGTGTCAAAGCGCAATGTGGGGGGAGACTTTTGGAAAGCCACCAGGCTCTGAAGATGATGCAGTCAGTCTGTCACTAGCCGATGAGAGACCTGAAGGGGGGGCTGAAGAGGGAATCCTTCAGTCTGCGTGCCTGCATATATTGGGTATATCCGTAGGTATAATGGTGTTCTTTAGTTCGGCACGGAACCGTGGAGAAGGGTCCAAGGCGAACCGGTTGCAACCCTACGATGGATGACCGGCCTCGTCAAGCTTTCGTGGAGAAGTCCATGCCGTATCGATGGGATGGCAATATCGTCCATGATTTCGGTAACCGTATCCGTATCGTAGGCTCTGCCGGCCAAGAAGGGAGGAATCAGAATCACGATCAGGAGGGTGGTTGATTGTCGAGTAATGACCCAGGACCATCCGAGAAGATGACTTGGAGTCTGTGCTTATGGCTACAAAAATAGTGCAGTTTGAATAATGTTCGGCCGTGTTTGACAAGAAAAGCACTTTTCGACTGATGTTGACTTTGAACAAGAATCCGAGGTTCTCGGTGACCATGTGCAAACAATAGTATTGTTCTTTACCCTGGCTTTGTGCGCTTGGTTTTAGAGCCTTTCACCAAATAAAAATTTTGATTCCAAAAGGAAAAGCAAGAAAGAAAGGTGGCTTCTCAGCCATCAGCCCTCCCACGTTGCCGCCAAAGAAAGACCCAACGGTGCTGTCACCAATGGAAGCCTTGAAGATTGTCGAAGACTCGAAGGCATAGGGACTGCCCCACTGTAACATCGGGTCAACCCCTGGCAGTCCGTCCCGCTTCGCGTCACTTGGAGTTTCGGGCTTGGGGGCGGGAGGTACCTTAATAGAAAAACGGACAGGAGGATTGTATCTTTTCGCTGTGCGTTTGTCACCAACGTGCCGGGTCAAGAAAGGGATCAATACCTCTAGGCAAGCTCAGGTACCTCTGGATGATAAGCTGACGTATGAGCGGTAGTTGCGCAACACGCGCTAAGAATTCCCTAGGGCCTAGTTGCCTTTAGCAATCGATAAGGAGGCCCAGGGAGCTTACCTTAGGTTGATGCAGGTCATGCAAGATTGAGTGTGGGTTCGACAGGAGGGAGCGGACGCCAGACGTGAACAATGCGCCTGTTTTTTTTTGGCTTTTTGGGACGACAAGCCAAGCACCCGCGAACAAGAGACACATGCCTCTTTTTAATTTTGCTGCTGCTGCTGCCCTTGTCTCATACGACTGTGCGTAAACAAGGCCTCTATTCTCCTTACATTTCACTTTACACCGCCCTCCCCTCGGCCGACGAGGCTATTTTCCACCTACTCTGACCTGAACCTTTAATATCCCGTCAACCGCCGCTTCCTCCACCCCTAGCCGGAAAAGCCCCCTTTGCGATGAGAGCTTCCCGGGCCCATGGAACCACATTTCCCCTGCCCGCTTTGACTTGCAACAAGCACGAACACGACCGCAAAACGTTGTGGAACCGCGCGGGAGCCCTTTCGCCTTTTCCCACGTGCTCCAGCTCCAAACCATAAGGTACTTTACCTAGAGATACCTCACTAGCCTAGAAACATCTACGAAACTACGACGAAAGACGACCACGAAGACGACGAACGATTACGAAACGAAAAGAACGGGCATCATGCCGTACTCAGGAAGCGCGCAGGCCGCGCTGGTGCAATGGGTAAGTCGCCGTGCTTTGCGCTCCCCTCCATATACATCTTCTCCCCCTTGTGTCCCCTCCGATGGGTCACTTCCCTTTCCCCAGTGTTGTCACTGACCGCTTCGTTTACGCCGTTCCAACATTATGCTGACTTAATGCTCGTTGCACAGGCAAACACATTTCCCCTGGATGGACAGGCAGACTCAATATCAGATTTCCTCGACGGACACCTGCTGTCCAAGGTCCTCCAAGCACTCGACCCCTCCTTCGACTCCAATACCACCGAGGGCGAGCTATACGATGTCTACAAGGGCATACAGAGGCTAGTATATCGCGAGTGTCCGGGGCTTATTGGGCAGACCAAGCTTGCCGATATCAGACCCAGGGCGAGAGAAGCGCAGCCGGAGGCCATCAGTAAGGTATGCAACTATCCGTGTCCAGCCCAGCTACCCTTGTTCCGGCGCCGAGAACGCAAGTCCAAGCTAACGCAATCTTCTACTCAGCTTCTTGCCGTGCTATTTGCTGTTGCAATGCTTGGTAGCAACAACGAGCGATGGGTCACCCGTATCACCCAGGATATATCCGACAAGACGGTCCTCATGCAGCTTCAGCGGGTCACGCAAGACATGAGTACAGCTATCAACGATGCCGAGGCGGCGGACGTAGAAGAAATCTCCGAGATTGGGAACGAAAGCCACGATGTCGATCTCGCAATGGAAGCCGACAACATACGCCTCCGCTCTGACCTGGACAAGAAGGGAAAGTTGCTCGCGGATATGGAAACGCGCTTGGGCCACCTGCAGGAAAGCTACGACGATCTGAAAGAGGAGGTTGTTCGCAAGGGCAGGGAGCTTGAGGCGTTCCACGATGCCCAAGACGGTGCTGGCAAGGAGGTCATCAGGTCACTCGAGCTGAAGCTGCGCGAGCAGGACGAGCTTATTGCCAACCAGGAGGCGCAGGCTGAAGATGATCGCATAGCCAAGGAGCGGCTGACGAGCGAAGTTTCGGCACTCAAAGCCAAGACGCAGAAGCTTGAGACGCTTGACGATGAGGTCAAGGAGCTACGGTTCAAGAATGAGGAACTATCCCGCAAGGCCAACATGGTTGAGCGGTACAAGCAGAAGCTCGAGGCGCAGTCTACATTGTCAAAAGAGATGGACAATTTGCTCTACGAAAAGGAGCAGATGCAGCGCGATCTCATTGAGTATGAGAAGGTTCTGAAGAGAAATCAGGCCTTGGAGCAGACTAACGAGCAGTACGCTTCAAAGCTCAGAGATTACGAGCTGCAGTACGTTGAGTTGGATGCTCAACGCCGGGCTCTTCACGATGACACTATGCAGTTGAGAGCTCGCCTCGCAACGCTTGATGCGCAGCGTCTCTCCGATGAGCATCTCATCTCCGAGCTGCAGGAGCAGATCAACTCGGGCACCCCGGGTGCTCTGTCTCCCGACGCCGGTACTGCGGGCTTCAGTCTCGAGCAGGAGCTTGAGGGTGTTAGCAGCGCCGCCCCACCCAACCTCAGCCTCGAGGTCTCTCGTCTCAAGGCAGAGAACAACTTGCTGCGGAACGGTATGGGATCTGGACCAGAAAACACTCGATTGCGTCAGGAGCTCGAGGAGGAGCGTAGGCAACGTGAACGTATCCAGGGAACTTACAACGACACCTTCGAGAAGCACCAGATTGCGGAGGCCCAAATCAGCGCTCTGATCGAGAGCAGTGGCGAAAAGTTAGTTGAAATCGTTGACACAGCTATGCAACTAGGCGTGGGCAAAGTGCTAACTCAAGAATTCCACCACAGCGAGGTGCTAGCCAACCTGAGAATCCAACTTGCTCAAAAGGCCCATGAACTTGAGAGTGAGAGGAGGAAGAACAGCGAGATCCAAGCTCAGCTCTCTGACAAGGATCGCGAACTCCTCAGCGCAAGGACCGATCTCTCAGCCGTCGCAAAGGATAGCGTTGATGCCCTCGAGGAACTCAAGTCTACTGACCAACTTATTTCCGGTTCAATCCGCGAAGAACTCGAGGCAGCGCGGCAACAGCTGAAAAACCTCGGCACTGACCTCGAAGAACAGCGGAGCTCACTTATCAACGCCCTACTTGAGAAAGACAAGCTTCGGAAAGACCTTGACGAGGCGAAGGATGGCTCGAGTGCGGAGCCGACGGAGGCCGCCCAGAAGCTCCAGGAGAAGGTTGACAAACTGCGTGTCAGGCTCAAAGAGCGCCAATCGGTGAGTTCCCTCAGATCTCTTGCAAACGCCCTAGCCCTACAACATCGAAATGCCGAAGGCGGTGTGCCCCAAACTCCCGGTACCCCGTCCGGAGCTGTGTTGTACGATAGCCGCCCGAATGCGCGGATCTTAGTCCCTACATGTCACCCTCATCTTGACCTGCCTTCCCAAGCACCAAAATCTCCTTTGAGTCTTATACCGAGAGTAAGCTGGTGGAGGAAGGTCTTCAGGCGGTCAAAGTTGTCCATTTGATGGCCCTTTGTATTGGGAATCATGAGATGAGTGGTTCATGGCTGACGGCTTTTTTTGTTTTTCAGCAATTGGAGAAATCCGAGCAGGATAAATACGACTTGCAGCGGAAGCTCAAGGCAGCCGAAGGCGGAGAAGCTGCCGCGGCTCAGAAGGTACGTTACTATCATGCTACAACGGTCTCAATTACACTATATTGGGCTTGGACCTCATGGTCTCGCCTTGATCTTGATGACGAAGGAGAACCGGGTCGGCTGACAAAGACGGCGTCAACAGGCTGCGAGCGATCAAATCATCAAGAACCTCCAGCGCGAGAACGCCCTTATTGCGACGGCGTGGTACGATCTTACTAGCCGTATTCAGAGCAACCACGTCGTCTTGCAAAGGCGGAATGAAGCCCCCAAGAGCTGGCTGGGCAAACAAAGGCAGATGGTCAATGGTTAGTCTGATGTCTTTATGAGGCCGGGACACGAGTATTTGAAGACTGACTGTCTACACCCATAGCCACTCCTAGGAGATGAGGCAATCTTCCGAATCCATAGCCTTGCATCGTCCGCGCATCGCATGATGACTTGGCTCCTCTTCACTTAACATATCCAGGTTCACATTACAGCCCTTGGCGAGAACTAGCAACCTACCCTTACCTCAACCTTACCTCATCTTGCGCTGGAGTAGGAGAACATCTCGGCGTTGGTTTTCCACTGTCTTCTTTTTCTACTTCCTCCTTCCGTGTCTTAGCGAATTAAAGGGGATGGATTGGCTGGCCTGCATCTCGGGTACCATTGCATTGCACTGCGCCGGTGGCTGGGTGGTATACTGTCTCCTCTCTTCTTCATCTTCCCCATCTATACTTTTATCAAGTCCTTTTTCTTCCTGCAGCCTTATCATACTCTCCAACTTTCATGTATAGCCTTTTCCTTCCAGCATGCGGGAGGTTTGCAAGCCCGTCGTCTTCCCGTTTTCGGGGCAACGCAGGTACTCTTTCTGGTGACTTGAGAATAGAATCGAATCTTCATTAACACATGTATATGTCTGTGTCACTTAACAAAATGACATGTCGTCTCGCGCTCAACGTCATTGATGGCTCCGTTCTGCGGGCTGTTTCGTGAACCGACTCGATAGCGGGGCTTTCACCACACGAAGATTCCGGATCTGCGAAGCCAAGTGAGTAAGTGAGTCGGCATTGAACATGGGCAACTGCAGGACCCCCTTTCCCAGGGCTTGAGAAGCTCAGATCAAAGATCATACCGCCATCGGTATTTCGCTGTTCCGGCTTGCCGATATACTGGCCGCTCAGTCGGGTTCATCGGATGTCGCTGACAGAAGAATCGGATGTGGTACCTTGGGTATGAGACCTTTGTCACCCCGGGGGTCGCTGTGGTCCGGGTCGGCATCGGGGGGGCCCCGCGGCCCCACTCATTTCGCTTCTTCGAGAAGCACCGACGAAGCCCGAATCCGGCCAGCGTGTTCCCCTTTTCCCCAAGTACGCGTCTCCAGGCTGTCTGCGTTGCGATCCAGGAAAACGGAAGGAATGACATCACGGCATTTCGATAGTAAACAGTTCGAGCACAGGGCAATTAGGACCATGGAGGGAAAATTTGCGAGGCCATCCAACTGCAAACCGCCGGTTTTGGTTATTAGTGAGACAATAAAGTTGTTGTTTTACATACAAGCGTGCGACGGAAGGGGTTTTCTACACGGTACAACTGATCCTGGCCACGTTGACGCAAAAAAAAAGACATAAACCAGCCCAGTCCTGTTGATCTCAACAGCTTCGGGGGGCGGACGAGGACGAGTCCTTTCCAGTCCATTTCATGATCCATAAACGAGTCCCATAAAAAAGTTCCTCCGATCCACGCCCTCCTTTCTTCTGGTCATATCGTTGATCCAGAAGACAGAGGGCCAAAGTAAGAGACGCTGTAAATGAAGACCTTTTTCTCCGTTTCCTCCTGATCGGCTTGTGGTGCGCAGCGGCCGGGGGGCTGTGGACGGGGCGGCGCGCTGGCGGGAGCAAAGGCTGGGAAGCCTGTGCCCGCTTAGTTCTTTCCGGCAATGCGGCTCAGAATGCCGGAGGCGTGGCCACCCTTGCGCTGCTCGTCAAAGACCTCAAGCATGTTTTTCCATACCTGGCCGGGCTGCTGCGACGCGTCGAGACCCTTCCAGATACCGTTCTGCTTGTAGTAATTGACGACGGGGGCGGTCTGGGCGTGGTAGGTGGCAAGGCGCTTCTTCAGGGCCTCGGCGTTGTCGTCGCTGCGCTGGATGAGGGGCTCGCCGGTGATGTCGTCCTTCATGTACTCCTTGGGAGGGTTGAAGGTGCTGTGGTAGCTGCGACCGCTGGCGGGGTGGACGAGGCGGCCAGTGATACGAGCGACGAGCAATGAGTCGTCGATCTGGAGCTCAACGGCGTGCTGAAGCGTCTGGTTGCGAGCCTTGAGCATGGTATCGAGACCCTCGGCCTGGGGGACGGTACGAGGGAAACCGTCAAGGATGAAGCTACGTCGTTCCAGTTAGCAACGCTTCCTCAGTAGTGGCCAGTTAACCGTCAGGCCGGTTCTCTGGCAGGAAAAAGATGTGCCATACCCTCCCTTGCACTCCTTGTTGTTGTCGAGCTCCTCCTTGATCATGCCAATGACGATGTCGTCGCTGACCAGACCGCCCTGGTCCATGATCTTCTTAGCTTCCCGGCCGAGCGGAGTCTTCTTGGCGACCTGGGATCGCAGCATGTCGCCAGTGGCCTGCGAGTGTGATGGTCGATTAGAAATGATCTAGAGCGTAGCAGCACGTCAAGACAATGTCAATTGACTTACCAAGTGGCAGCAGTTGAACTTCTCCTTGATCTTGGGGGCTTGAGTGCCCTTGCCTGTGCGGAATACCATCATCAGTACGACTGTCGCGACACAAATAGCACGTGTAAAAATGCTCAATTGGAGCTACATACCGGCACCGGGGGGGCCGATGAGGATCATGCGAACCTCCTCGGTGGAGAGCTTGCCGGAGCCGCCAGCTGCGCGGTCCTCCAGAGACTTGATTCTGGACTCGAGGCTCTCGACCGTGTTGGTCAGCTTCTTGACTGCTTCCTCAACGAGACTGCTCATTTTGACGGTTGGTGAAGGTATTGATATGGCCGGACCGAGGCTAACGATAGGAGGGAGGAGGAGCAAAGAGATGCACGAGTGTGGCTACGAGGGGGAAAGGAGGAAGAGAGGAGAGGAGAGGATGATGGAGTCGAGGTCGAAAGTTGGACTGGGGGGAGCAGTGCGAACTAAAGCTTTTGCGGGAAAAATGATTGCGAGAGAGGTTGAGAAATCGCTGCAAGGTCCTGACAGGCCAAGTCGTCCAGGTTCCGCCTCCAGTTTGTGCCAGGTACCGCCTACATCGTACCGAGCTTTGCGCTTTCCACGGCCCCGTTGAGTGCAGGTGACAGGCCACCGAGCGGCCCCAGTGCAGGAATGAAGGCTGGTCATTGGCCAGAGTGCCCTCCGAGGGACCGCTGGACTTTCTGCTGGGGAACAGGGTGGCAGGCGTTCGTTCGGCTGTTTCGCAGCGTAACAGCGCCCTCCATATTTCCGCCTTGGTGCAACTGCGTGCGCTTCCGTTACAGCGCTCCGGCTGCCATTGGCTCGTCCTCGCCGTTGTCTCTCCGCCGAGGTCCAGCGCGGATACGTACTGTCTACATCGGGGGATAGTACCGCGAGCCATTGGGGCCTGCTCAGTGTTTACGGCCCGGCTAGGTAGCTTGCGGATAAGGCACGGCATCAGAAGCTCTCGAGAATGATCCCCCGGCGCACCGGATGGGACGCCATGTATGAGGTCACTGGGTCAAGATTTTTTGTTTTCCAAGTGGTTTTTTGGTGCATTTGGTGCCTTTTGATGCGGCATGTGAGTCTCTTGGGGTCATCCCAGTCACCCGCAATTCTCCGAACGCCGCACTTGACTTCGTGTCCATCTGTTACTTGTCACCTTGAGGTTGGCTATTCCTGACGGAAATAAGTCCGTCATCGAATTCCTCAGTCAGCGAGTTACTGTGTTACTGAGCACGGAATGAAGAGAATCTTGCAGGCCGATTGCGGACTCGACCGTCTGGGGCCTCTTTCGGAGATCTTGTCCAATGAACAAATATCGGACGTGCGCTTCCATTCCCTGCGCGCGGTCGCACGGCCCGAGCTGTGGCTGATCGCTGCTTGCGGCTCACTAATCGTGGCTAGAGACTTGCTGACTCAGAAAGAGCTCGCACACGTGACCCGGCGAGGCTCGAGCTTCCAATTGCTTGCACCTAGGCCCGATTCGTAGCTTAGCTAGGCGGGAAGGCAGCCTTAGCAGTTACGACACCACCACCACCATCACATACCCTGCCTCTACTACACCCACCACAGCCCGAAACCATCACCGATTCAGCAACCCTCTATCTTCCCCCGAACCCGAACCAATCGACCTAGCGAAGCTACGAAATCCCTCTATCATGCCTGCCACCACCGCAGAGACTCTGTCTCTCGTTCAGCGGAATGTCTCCGTTGCCCCTCTCGTGCTTCTTTCCGTCGTCGACCACTACAATCGCGCGGTAGCCAAGGGATCGAAACGGAGAGTGGTGGGTGTTCTGCTGGGTTCAAATGACGGAAACAATGTCCGCGTATCCAACAGTTTCGCAGGTAAGGACTACTTTAGCGGAAGCTATCCATCTAGATCATCCCCGCGGTACTAATACATGCTCGCAGTGCCGTTCGAGGAAGATGACAAGGACCCCTCAGTGTGGTTCCTGGACCACAACTACGTCGAGGGAATGAATGATATGTTCAAGAAGGTCAACGCGAGAGAAAAGCTGATCGGCTGGTACCACTCCGGCCCCAAGCTGCGGGCGTCCGATCTCGAGATCAACGAGCTGTTCAAGCGCTACACCCCCAACCCTCTCCTAGTCATCATTGACGTCCAGCCGAAGGAGGCGGGCGTGCCGACGGACGCATACTTCGCCGTCGAAGAGATCAAGGATGTGAGTGGCATTAGGTTATGCCGTACGAAGCCACTGCTAACAATTGTGACTGTAGGATGGTACCACCACGTCAAGAACCTTCGTCCACACCCCGTCGATCATCGAGGCCGAGGAAGCAGAGGAGATTGGTGTCGAGCACCTCCTTCGCGACATCCGCGATGTCGCTGTTGGAACCCTCTCGACGAGAATAACAAATCAGCTTCAGTCACTCCAAGGGCTGCATCTTCGTCTCCGCGATATCGGTGCCTACCTCCAGAAGGTTCTCGACGGCCAGCTGCCCGTGAACCATGCCATCCTGGGCAACCTGCAGGACGTCTTCAACCTCCTTCCCAACCTGTCCACGCCAAAGGCCGATGGCAAGTCCAGCGGCGGCGAGCTCTCTCACGCCATGAGCATCAAGACCAACGACCAGCTCATGGCCATCTACCTTAGCAGTTTGATCCGCGCCATCACTGCCTTCCACGACCTTATCGAAAACAAGATTCAGAACCGACAGCAGGCAGAGGAGAAGGAGGCCAAGAAGGAGGAGGAGGCGAACGGCAAGGACGGAAAGAAGGACGATAAGGCGAACGGTGTAAACGGCGAGAACAAGGAGGCATCTGACAAGGAGAAGGAGGCGAAGAAGGAGAAGAAATAGAGGACTGCGCGACGACGCAGTGGACGGAGAAACCACACGCATTCAAAACACGGGAACTGATACCCGCGATAGACACTGGGGCGTGGGCATGTCATAATATCTCGGCGTCCTGGGGGGCAAGGCCGGGGAGGGAACAGGCAAATTCACAAGAAAAGAGTATGCCTTGTACAATGATAGCATGTTTTGATTGATGCCCTGAGACTCCCCCCGTGTTCCTCTTCATCCAAGTGCTACACTGTTGAGTGACTACACATCCGCAACTAACCCCGCCATCTCCTCCCTGCTCACTCTCCTCTCTGTGACATACTTCCCCAAAGTATCCGCCCACTGCTCGGAGAGAAGACAAGCGAGCAGGTGTTTGCAGCAAGGCACACCACCATCATCCACGCCGTCCAGACTCAGGCCTCCAAACTGCCAGTCGTTCGCCTCGCGGTTGTCGTCCTCCCCGTCGTTCTCGACTTCATCTGCGCCCATGATGACCAGGTCCGAACGTACGTCGTGGCCCCCGCCACCGCTGCTGCCGCCGCTGCTGGCGCTGACGACTGCCGGAAACGCTTCGTACGCAAAGTTGGCGCAGGAGCAGTTCCAGGCGTCGAGGTGGACGAGGTACGTCGTCGACGCGGAGGCTGATGTCGCGACGGCGTGGTGTCTGCGGGTCATTGTTGAGGCTACGGAGCGGACGAGGTGGAATGCGGCGGCGGCTGACGGAGCTTGGTTTGTTGCTGGTTGGAGGCGGGGTGGTGGTGGTGGTGGTGGTGGTGGTGGTGGTAATCCCTGTCCATCGGCGGCCGCTTCGGACGCGGCGTCGTTGGGATTGATACTGGGTTGACGTTGGCGGGCGGCGGGTGCGGGGTTGGTGGGGTTGTTTCCTTCTCGGTGGTCGTGGCCACGGCCGAGGCCGGCGGAGGGATGGGTGGTAGCCTCCGGAACCACGCGGGTGACGAGGTTCCGGTCTAGGAGGTCCAGGGCCGGGAGAACGAGGGAGGGAAAGAGGACGTGGAGGGTTACCAGGAGCGGACGGTGGGATTGTGGGAGGGTTTTGAGGGGGTTTGCTGCGTCGGCTGCGTTGTTGCCGGCGGTGTTTCCTGGCGGTGGTAGAGGGGCCGAGGTGAGAGAGTTGATGAGGTTAGTGATGAGGATGCGGGGTGTCGGCAGGGTGTCTGACTGCGTTGATGCCGGTGAGAAAGAAGACATGGCGTAGCCCTTCTCGCCCTGCTTCTGGGTTGCGAGTATCGTTTGGTTTGTTGTTGAACGATGACGGTATTGAGAGATAGAAGTTGCGGTTCACTGAGCGAGGTTTGTAATGTGCTGCCTGGTTCACAGGTGTAAGGCTCATCAGCCAGAACTCATAGTCACCGAGTTTGGCTCCGGATTGTACGCCCTATATGAGTTGGAAGTCTGCATTCCCCAGCTTCGCCACAAATGAGGTTCTTATCAGTCGAATATTTGTCCGAAGCTGGAATACCAAAACTCCGAAGCAATCAAGACGCAAGGTGATGAACAGAAGAAAATGTCTCTTTTGAGTTTTGCCGCCTCACAGCTTTTGTCTAATAATCACATTATGTCCGCCGCAAAATTTGGCATAATCTTACAGCAAATACCGCTTGCATCCGGTGCTCCGTAACCAGGTTCCCTCTTCTCCCCCTTCCCCTATTTCTTCAGCCCTTCCTCTAAACCCACTCCTTGGGCGCTCTGAGGACATCCACGAGGCGCTGCTCGCGGCTCTTGGGCTCGGGCTCATGCATGTACTTCCAGCTGGCCGTCAGGGGCAGACTCATGAGGATACTCTCGACTCTGGAGCCGGGGGTGTTGAGGCCAAAGGCGGTGCCGCGGTCGTGGACAAGGTTGAACTCGACGTACTTGCCTCTGCGAATCTGCTGCCAGTCCTTCTCGGCCTCGTTGAAGGGCATGTCCTTTCTCTTCTCGAGGATGGGGAGGTAGCCGGGTAGGAAGGATTTGAGGCAGTCCTGGATGAAGGCAAAAGTGTTCTCGCGGTCCTTTTCGGTCTCGTCGAGGTCGTCAAAGAAGATGCCGCCGACGCCGCGGCACTCGCCACGGTGCTTGTTGTAAAAGTACTCGTCGCACCACTTCTTGAAGCGCGGGTAGTAGCTCTTGTCGTGCGAGTCGCACGTCTCCTTGAGCGTCTTGTGGAAGTGCACAGCGTCCTCGTCAAAGAGGTAGGACGGGGTCAGGTCGCTGCCGCCGCCGAACCACCAAGCCTGGGAGGTGCCGTCGGGGTTCGACGTCTCAAAGTAGCGGTAATTGAGGTGGACCGTCGGGGCCATGGGGTTCTTGGGGTGCAGGACCATGCTGAGGCCGGCGGCGAAGAAGGGGAGGGAGTCGACGTTGTCGTCGAGGTTCTTGTGGTTCACGCGCATCTTGGCGATGGCGGGCTTGGGGAGGGTGCCGTAGACGACGGACACGCCGACGCCGCCCTTCTCAAAGACGTTGCCGTCCTGGAGCACGCAGGTGATGCCGCCGCCGCCCTCTTTCCGGTTCCATTCGTCCTTGCGGAACTTGGTGCCGTCGACCTTCTCGAGCTCCTTGACGATGATCTGTTGCTGTTCCTTGATGAACTTTTCCATGCGCAGGCGCATGGGCGAGTCGACGGTAACTTCGGACTCCCGCTTGGTCAGGGCATCGCGCTCGGCCAGGGTCGGTGGATCGAGTTGGAAGGGTTCTTGGACGGCCTGGATCGGAGAGTGATGTTAGCGACGGGGGAGCTTTGATGCATCAATGGGAAAGGCGGAAGCTCCGGCATTGGGGGAGGTATTTGGGTTCGTGGTGGTGAAGGGTATATGTTGCAGTACCATCTTGTAGGCGATGGGAGCTGCAGCAGCGAGACCAATTGCGCCAATGAGGAAGCGGCTATAAGCGGCACCGGATTGTTGACCCTTGAAATGGGACTTTGAAGAGGAGGAGACGAGTCTGCGACCGAATTGAAGCTGTGGCTGCTTGGTGGTGATGGCGATTCTAGTTCGAGAGCTGGCGAATTGTGCAAGCAACCTCTGTGATTGCTTTGTGGATGCCATGATGGGCGAAAAGGAATCTAAATACAAACTCTATAATGGGAACGAACAACGAAGAAAAGAGCGACTTGGGTTGTTACAGGGAGGGAAAATCGGATGATTCGTTCTCAAGTGAAAGGCATAAGACCACTGGGTTGCAATCATGAACTGACTGGAACGTCGTTCGAGGATTGAGCCAGTCAGGCCAGCTGTAAAAGTAAATTCCGAAATCGTTCCACGTTGGTTAGGTGCGGGACCCCTGTCGCCCTTGCGCCGACCCAACGGAGCAGCATTGCACCTCAGCACTGGAGCTGTCCATCCAGCGCATCCACAGCCTGGACCGGGCTCTCTGCCGGCTCTGGGCCGCTGGAGAGGTGGGGTGAGGACCAGTGAGTCCGAGAATTGTGTATGTGACGCCGAACGCCGGACATGCTTCAACGGACCAACACGCGGTGAGGAAATGCCCCTGTATTGTTGCATGCTTATTTGTAGCTGTCATAGACCTGCAAAGTGATGGCCTTCGTCCAACCATACAGCAGTTTGGCTTTTCAATCCATCAAGCCAAGAGGCGTAGAACTCTTCTATGCCCTTGATAAGGTAGGTAGGTAGGAAGGGTAGCTCGCGTTCGCTCTCCTTCTGCAAGGTAAGCGGGAATGCAACCTTGGGTGCGCGGGGTGGAATGCCGGAATCTTCTTTTCCTCTCACAGAATCAATTTAAGTCTTGAAACACCCAAGTGTCTCTTTCAGAATCATTTCATCATATATATGTATTCACACTTTTTCGTGGCCCTTGACTTGTGTTATCAAGTACATATATAATGGAAAGCAGCACAAGGATGAGAGCTGCTCAGCTGCCATCATGTCGGGAAAAGTAAAAGCGCTTGCATTCGCTTCCAATCTCTCAAGGGACCTGAGATCGGTTATCGGAGGTCCAGAGTGGGGTCGCTTAAGTAAGATGGACAGATAAGAGCACTTGGGCCGTGTGGGTTAAAGTCCAGTGACAGTTCCTCTCTGTTGATGTCAACCTGGGACCTGAAGGGTCAATTGTTCCCGTGGTCGCTCAAAGTCCCATTGTGAGTGGGCTTTCGCAAACTGCTTCCCTCTCACCTCTTACTGGGGACAAATGACGTCAAGACGAGTATAGGTAGTCTGCAAAGGTATTGTACAAACTCCCCCGTCCAAGGCTCTGAGTGACAATGCACTTCAAGCGGCTTTGAAGACAACAAACAGCTTTGCATGCACAGACAAGGCCGGCTTGCGTGCACGTATCAGGAGGTTGCGACTACGGTGATCCCGTGAGAGCTTTCAGCGGCTTACAGCCCCGTCTGAAAAGGGAACCAACCTCAGGTAGGCCCCTACTCTTTGGACCTAAGCAACTAAGGTAAGGCAAGGTACTCGTACTCCAATAGAATGGGACAGTGTGCCAGGACCTTCTCCTGTGACTCAAATCGGATCCAGAAAGGCGTGACAGGCTGCCAGGCTGTGTCAAGTGGCTGCGTGGACGGTCAGCTGCCTACCTGTGGTCAATCTTTGCCCCAGCACCCGGAGCACCTGCGCTGGCCTCACAGTCTCACTGCGCCGCTGATTGCTGGGATTGCTGGGATTGCTGGGATGGCATCGGTGTCTTGCCCCGCTCCGATAATCCGATAAGGATAAGGACGGGAGGACCTGGAGTGCTGGAGTGGGAGGGAGCTGGCTGATGCAATGAGGATGAGGATGGGGAGGGGAGGGGAAGGGGGGCGTGGGGTTGAGTTGAGCACCTCTCTCACCGGCTTAGTCATTCCGCAGCCATCAATGGATGTCACCCACCAGCCAATACACCGCGGAAAGGTACCTGGCTGGGCTTAGGTTCCTGCCTTTCTGGGTGCTCTGCTTTACCAACCAGCCGCCTGAGCCACCCAGACACTTCCAGTCAGTGACCGCCCATTCCCGTCCCCGTGTCTGACCCCAAGGCACCCCAAAGCAGGCGGCAACCGACCGTCCATCCTTCTTCTGCCTTTCGCAAACGGCCCCTCGTTACCTCAACTCTCCCTTCTACATACTCCGACGCATCAGGCACCACCAGTCGACAAACATCGAGCCATCTATATCTTGACCCTCGCCCAACTCCCCACGACCAGCCCATCTGTAAACCCACAACCCACTTCCACTTCACCCTCCACATATCCGTCATCATGCGATCCAAGTTCAAGGACGAGCACCCCTTTGAGAAGCGTAAGGCTGAGGCCGAGCGTATCCGCCAGAAGTATTCTGACCGTATTCCCGTACGTCGTAACTCTCCTTCTCTTCGCCCTCATTTCGTGGTTATTCCTCTGTAGTTTCTGTACAGAGATACAGCTCCGCCGTTTCGCCGTAGCTGCATTCGTCAGCTTCGCGCGTTACTGTCGGCTGCCCCACGTTCCCCGACCGTCACCGCCGATCTGCCTATCTACCTCTAGAAGTCCAAAAAACTGACAGGCTCCTCACAACACAGGTTATCTGCGAGAAGGTCGAGAAGTCTGATATCGCTACTATTGATAAGAAGAAGTACCTCGTCCCCGCCGACCTGACGGTTGGTCAGTTCGTCTATGTCATCCGCAAGCGCATCAAGCTCTCCCCGGAGAAGGCTATCTTCATCTTCGTCGATGAGGTGCTGCCGCCTACCGCAGCTCTCATGAGCAGCATTTACGAGGAGCACAAGGACGAGGACGGGTACGTTTCCGACCACTATATTACTTTGTAACAAGCTGTTTGTTGCTAACCTATTGTGTTCAGATTCCTTTACATCACCTACTCCGGCGAGAACACCTTTGGCGACTTTGAGATGGCTTAAGCCCCCGACTGTCTGACGGTCTAGTCACCTCACGGCTTCAGAATGTTCCCGGCGTTTCGGTCTGTTATGTAACGGTTCAGCACTTTTGGAATGGGTTTTCACACGGTTATCGGTCTCCCCCCACGAAGCAGGGGTTCATGAAGATACGCAGTCACGTTGTCGCTCGGAGTCACAGGATCAGGTGCAGCCTCCTGACCTGGTCACAGAGAAACTCCTGCGATGCTTGGGTAAATCCAAGAATTGAAGGCTAGCGGAGGACTATGCATGGAAATTGGCTTCACGGATACTAGGTGGAAACGTTTTCTTAGATCGCATATTCAGTCGCCTTCCATCACCTCTTACTTCCCTTCCCCTATATCTCTCACCTATAACTGTCGTGTGGGCTATGGTGACAATATTTTTGGCATTCTGTATAGCACTTCATTCGTTAGCGCGCCGTGCCAATCCTTGACCTGACCGTTCTTCTCCAAATCTCGTCCATGTATGAAACCAGGCCGTTGCGATGATGCCCCCCAAGTTCAGTCAGTATCAGTATCGTGAGTGCCAGAGTACAGTCCACACGCTGAACAGTCCACACGCTGAAGGGAATAAAGTGAAGCGACACAAAACGTGTCGAAGCTATGTCATGCGAGAGAGAAAGCCCCTGAATGAGACGGTCAAAGAGCCGCAAATTTTGACCTGGAGAAAAGGCATGCGGGATACACGAGCTCTCCGAGACCCCGACAGAAGTTGTGTTGTTTTTCTTCGGCTCGCCCCGGCTATTTCATGCATTAGACGCATCTTCTTTTTTTCGAGTGTGTTGAGCTTGGATGCTCGGGCGAACAGATGGCACGTCTGAGGGTGAGATGACACGAGCGAGACATCAGATTGTTGGAGCTGCATAGGGGAGGGGGAGGAAAGGGCAATGGACAAAGTACAAAGGCTGTGTGCTCTGGTCTGCATCGGGCTGAGGTATTCTGTATTGTGTTCACTCCTTTGTTTCTTTGATATGTGGTGGGAAAAAAAATTGAACTTTGTTTTTGATATTTCACCCATTCCTATCTATGAACTCCTAACTGATGATGATGATGATGATGACTTTGCGGGGGGCAGAAAATTCCAAAATGGTCCGCCCTCAAAGGGGATAGGGACTTGATATTACACTTTTTTAAAAAAAGATTGAGAAAATATGGAACCATGTAACGGAAGAAAAAAAAAACCAGCTCAAGATTTTGCCTAGTGACCCAGCATTTGCTGCATGGCGTTGAGGCGGTAACTCTCGCTCTTCTCCATGAGCTCCTCGTGCCTTCCCTTGGCGGCGACGGCGCCGGCCTCGACGACGAAGATGACGTCGGCCTTGCGGACCGTGTGCAGCCTGTGAGCGATGGCGATGACGGTGATGCCGCGCGCGGCGCGCTCGAGGCCTTCCTGCAGCGCCTTCTCGCTCTCGGCGTCGAGGGCGGAGGTGCTCTCGTCGAGGAGGAGGAGGCGGGGCTTGCGGACGAGGGCGCGGGCGATGGCGACGCGCTGGCGCTGGCCGCCGGACAGCTGGGAGCCGTTGGGGCCGCACTCGGTGTCGTAGCCCTGCGGGAGGGCGACGATGGTCTCGTGGATGTTGGCGAGGCGGCAGGCCTCTTCGATTTCCTCGTCGGTGGCGTCCTGGCCGGGGCGGGCGCCGAGGCCGACGTTGAACTTGACGCTGCCGTCGAAGAGGGCGCTGTCCTGGGGCACGACGGCGATGTCGTCGCGGAAGTCGGTGCCGTCGAACTTGGAGATGTCCATGCCGTCGATCTCGATTGTTCCCGTGCTGGCGGAGTACATGCGCTGGACGATGGCCATGACGGTGGACTTGCCGGCGCCCGAGGGGCCGACGAGACCGCAGAATTGGCCGGGCTGGATGGTGAAGGACATGTTGTCGAGGATCTGGACCTCGGGGCGGGCGGGGTAGGAGAAGGAGACGTTCTTGAAGGAGACGGCGACGCCGCCGCGACCCGGGGAAGGGCGCGGGTTGGGGTTGGCGAGGGCCTCGACGTCCTTTTCCTTCTCCTTACCCTTGGAGGACTCTGACGCCGCGTCGGCGGCGTCGGCGGCCCTGCCTGCCGGGTCGGCGTCGGACTTGCTGAGGTCGAGGAGACTGAAGATTCTGGAGGCGGCCATGCGGGCGCGGGTGACCTCGGGGGCGAGGGTGAACATTTGACCCCATAGCTGGGCGCCAACGAGCATGGCGACGTTG